TTTACAGCGACACCGTGTTTTATGGCGAGGGATTTGTTGCCATGGTAACGCCATATTAAGTAACATCAAATTTGATGAAGAGCTGTTCAGGGCCGCAGTGTTAACCATCATGTGAAGTTTGGTGGCGTTCTGAGTATGTCAGTTGGCGTTATGACATCATCGTGTTCCATGGTGAGGGATCGCCTAGCATCGGAGCGAACGCAAACTTTGGCGCCAATTCACGGCTATGCCGTGCGAAAGAAAAAAACTTCCGTGATAACTTTGAATTGCCCATGTCTCGAGACGCTACCCGACGAATTTCGAGTCGTACGGATAAAGTCCCTGGGAGAAGATAGATTTCGTGCGGAGGACGAAAAACGCGATAAATCGCGTTTTTCCGACACCAAATTCAAAATGGCCGGCTTCCTGTACGTTATTTTATACCCCTCCAAGAGGCTTTTTGGTTTGTCTCCGCACCCTAGATATGCGTAGCGAGTTTCGTTCGTTTACGTGAAAGTTAAAGTGGGGGGAGTTTACGTTAAAAACGGAAGTGGGCGTGGCCTACGCAATTTTTTACGCAAAGTTCCGGAACCAATTACACATCTGAAGTTGCACCACTTCTGACGCGCGTGCAACATTTGGTGAGTTTTCACATATGTTGCGGGGGTCAAAGGTTTATCGGTCGCTGCGCAACCGATTTCAATAGGGTCTTCGCCGACCTAGGTCTCAGACCCTAATAAACAGATTCTTGATTTAGCTAATGTAGCTCCTGTTTTCATGTTGGCATGTGGGGGGAGGCGGGACATAATATCCTCTCTGGCAGGCGGAGGTAAAGGCTGGAGGGGGGGCTGTCTGACCTCAGAAGAATGCATATACGTGTGTGTATTCAAAAGCCTTGACTCTGGGATGTGCGCGTCCATTCCAACACTTTTCCAGCTGCAGGAACATTTCCATTGTCAGGCGTTAATCCGTAGTGACTTTCAGCCCCCCCCGCTCTCGTCCTTGGGCACACGGGGACTCTGTGTAGCACAAAGCAGGAATGTCAGGGGCCTCCGTCAGCAGAAGACCTTGATCGACCTTCTTAATTCAGTGTCTCTGCATACAGAGTAGTAGATCTGCAGATATTACCTTGTCTGTCAATTATATATAGGATTAGAGGGTCTGTCGGAACTTGTGTGAATGTAAATCTCAGTTGACTTTGCTTTCAGCCTGAAAGCCTTAGTTTGTGTGACGCATCGTTTCCACTGCAAACCAGAGGAAGACATAATCAAACACACACACGTCTTTTTTTGTGTGTTTAAGGGAGAGTAATTCAATATTGCGGGGGCAGAAGGCAGAATGAAAGGAAAGCAAGTAAACACAAGATTGTTTTGTTATCTGGGCCGCGGCTGGCTCGAGGGGTTTTGATTTCTGTTCCCTGTCTTTGGGCAGACATGCCGGGAATCTGCAGCTCGGAGAGAGAGAATCAAACAAGCAGACTTGAAGGAAAAAACTCATCTTTGGTACAAATCACAAGCTCCACTGAGTCACTAAAAGTGCTGATCCAGCGTCAGCCTTGGCTAAATGTTGTGCTATTGTTGCCAAGTGCAAACGTTTTATTGGTAGGCGGCATCCTTATCAGCACTTTCTTTTACATGCTGGTTAGCAGATGTTGGACAGGACTTGACGTGCTCAGAGACAGGAAGCTGTCATCGTGCCTTTAAGAAGCGTGTGTTTGTGCATCATTGACATGGTTACACACTGCAACATTGGCAGCGTGGTTGTGAGCTTTTAGCCCACACATCCAACACAACGCTTTGATCAGAGAGACCCATATCTGCAGCATGCCTTACAGAGGACAACAGCAGAAGTCACATGACGGCTCAGATTGATGTCAGTTATTGCCTAAAGAAAGAAAGGTCTTAGAAAATCAATTTCTCCTTATGTTAAAAGCCATACAGTTACAAATGTGCTGTGCCTCAACATAATATATTGTGTTTATTATAATGCTTTCATAAATTCACTTTTTGACATCCTCAAACTGTATCCTACAATTGTATTTTCTGGACTAGGATTTTATGAGATGAACCTTCTCTCCTGTCTGAAACACAGTCTGAATATTATCGACTGTGATAAACCAGCAGCCATACTTATTTATTCTTCAGTTGCACATTTGCGCATGGCTTTCCTGGAGCCATAGTCCCGCCATAATAAACATCCAACGTCTCATTTTTCTCAAGTGGCTATAAACGCCTGCTGTTATATTGTTGTCTCTGTGGGTTTGACTGTAAATATTTGGCAACACAATATAGAAACCAGACAGAAGCACAGAACTGCAACAAATCCACAATAAGTGTCTCCTTCTCTTTCATGTTTGAAGGCATATTGTTACAGATAAACTGTGCCGCTTCTTGCTCTTGATAATCCATGGAACACTAACTCGCCCGTTCTGACTTTCTATGTTACTTTTTCCATAATGGATTTCACTGTTTTTCAAGAAAAATGTCAACATGTGTTGGTTTCAGCTTCCTAAATGTAATGGGTTTTTTTCTTTTGCATGTTGTAAATTTAAGTAAATAGAATATTTGTATAGTTGAACTTTGTACAAAAAAAACTGTACAAAGTGTCTCATTGAACTCTGGGAAACTGGAACAGACCTTTATCTTATGATTTTGAAAACATCAAACAATTATTTTATCCATCTATCAAACAATTGAGCAGATTAAGTGATAAAGAAAATACTCTTTAGTTGCAGCACTAGTTTGATTAATAGTTTCTTCTGGAAAAAGCATTGAGCGCTGAAAGTAACTGAAAAATATCTCGCAAACCTGAGCACATAAAACAAAGCTTTCACCCAGGAAAATACTACATTGTTAGTGGAAGCCATCTTTTGTCGTATACTGTATGAAGGTTAATTGACAATTTGACCCACAAATGATCCAAATCTTAACATTCAGGAATCGCTGAAAATGGGTTAGGGTTAGGGTCACTAAAAAACCTGCAGTGGATTCTGACATTGCTCATGATTTTGATTTAGCTAGTCAGTCCATTGCACTCCTACCATTATCATAGCAGTTGATCTAATTAAGGTGTCATGGAATAAGAGTCACGTCAATCATCATTGGAAGAATGACACAGTGCCAGCGTGGGTCACTTTATTCTGGGTGTGTTTCAGACATTCTTGATTTTGACTGAGTTTCAGTGAGTCTAGATTGTTGAATAAATGTTGAGGCTAAACAGCAAAGCCTTCAACTAATGTTAGTTTGGATATGTCTCCATGTCATTTTTTATCATGCAAGGATATCCCTGAGTCTACACTTATTTACACTCAAATATCGTAAATGATTGCAAGAGAAGTAATGCAATGTCTCTAAAACAAGGTTAAAGTGTTCTTTGGGATCAGATAGATGTAAGTCAAGTGGAATATTGTTATGATGATTGTAGTTGTACGTCCTGTGCTTGTGCTTTGGTCGTCAGATAGTGGATATCAGAGCTGTAAAGTCACGATGTCCCAACCAACAGGTGGTGTTCATGTTGGCCTGTGGTGGCGTCCAAAGGTCACTGGGAATCGATTTACATCCTGATATTGACAAGATTTTCTGCCAGATTGATGATATTAAACACTTTGAATTAGGGCTGCACGATTTGGGGAAATAATCGAATTGCGATTTTTCTGACAGATATTGCGATTACGATTCGATTTGCGACATTTGTTTTTAAGCGACCCTACCGAAGTTAATTGTAAAATGCGGCCATATCTCCGGCTAGGAAGGTCGTATCAACGTGCTCCTGTCTCTAGCACCCCCGCAGCCCGAGCTACGAGTGAAAGAACTAAACTTACATGAAACTTCCCCTGCGTTGCTTTAAAGTCAAGCTTCAGTTTAAGATTCACCCTGTAATAGATGTAGAACATGTGATGGAGCATTACTAACCTGACTCAGATGGTTTTTTTCACCAAACCATCTAGGAAAGCTCCATTGGAAGCCATTTGGAAAAGTATTTAAAAAATACTTGGCAGGTGATTGGATCAATCTGTCTATCACTTACTATCATGGGCCACTTCTGATTGGTTAACAATGACTGGTTCATGTGGAGCACAGCACTTCTGATTGGTGTGGATGACTGACACACAAGAAGAAGAAAAAATCGCAGGCTTTGCGATTTGATAATTGCATCATTTCAAATCTCGACTTCAAATCGATTAATCGTTCAGCCTTACTTTGAATGCATTCACGTTAAAAAAAACTCTGAATATTTACATTCACCCACCTGTCTTAAACTTGATTTTTTAGCACCTGACTCTTTATTCCCAGTTTGCAGACTGGTTTGTATGAAAAATATTGTGCATCTTTGCAAGAGGTAGTTAACAAATCCATTCAAAAATGCTCATCAACATATTTGGGTTTTGAGGTGTTGGTCTGACATTACATTACATGTCATTTGTTACACGCTTTTATCCAAAGCGACTTACATACATTCAGTACAGCCTCCCTGACAATACAAGTAGTAGGAAGGGATGAACTTGGAATCTGGGAAAATGTTTTTTGGGTATCCTTGTACCACACATGGGAGAGAGATCCTAGAAAATGAGGAATATAGATAGCTGCAACAATGCAGTCTTTTAAAATCTCTTCTCCTAAGGAGTCTTTGTCTGCTGAGACACACACGCACACACACACACACACACACAAGCTGATGTCAAATTGCCCCTAAACCCCTCTCTTTCCAATGTATGAATATTCATGCCATTTATTATTATAGATCAGAACAGAGACATGTCAAAACTGATCCAAATTTGTTTTAATGTGTTCGTTCTATTCCAAAATATATCAAGCCATTTAAGGCAGCATCACATTCATTCAAAATGTGCTTTTACAACCTTGCCACATTAGTGTGATTCACAGTTCAGATTTGGCTACTGCTACATCACTGAGTACTCACACACACGCTTCACAAGTACTTCCTGATAACAGTATTTAAACAATGTGGCTGCCAGCCCTCACACTCATTGTATCCTCCTCCTCCTCCTCCTCACTGCACAGGAGCCGTCTGCAGAGCGGGACCTGGACGGGTTAGGGGAGCAGGCGACAGACGGACACACCAGACTGACGGACATCAGCGGGGGCACAGAGGGCCGCAGCATGGCGTCCATACCGGAGTACTACGCCGGCAAGAACGTGCTGATCACAGGAGCCACAGGCTTCATGGGAAAAGTGCTGGTGGAGAAGCTGCTGAGGGCGTGCCCTGAGGTCAGAGCCCTGTACCTGCTGGTCAGACCCAAGGCCGGACAGTCCATGGAGCAGAGGGTCAGCGACATGATGACCTGCAAGGTAAGAGCTCTGTGTGCACTGTGAAGAGTTGATATGTTTATATATGGAGGATTTCACTCGTACCAAACAGATCTCCAGCAATATGTTGAACCTTCACAGACAACTAACACATTTAAACCTTACATGAATGCCACCATTGAATATATCAGTACGTAAGAGAAGTAAACTACGACTCTTGGGAATTGTGGTGATCCAAACAATAACAAATAATAGAAATGCATGGTTTCAAGATAAACAAAGAGAGTAATAATTCAAACCTGTGGATAAACTTATAGTATTGCTATAGTATTTAGGAGAGTGACTTAAAACACATGATTTCACAAAAAAAGGAAAAAGTTACTTGATGATAAAATGATGAGGGTTAAACTTTTTTTTTTTTAAATGTTGATGAAAAATAAAAAGAAGAAACTTAAAGGATTATCCTGTAAAAACGTTTTTATAACCTGTTAATTCGCAAGCAAATAGATCAAAATGTATGGATTACTAGATGAAATGTTCTTACTTGCCTCTCTGGGCTTAAAATCCTCCCCCTACTTTGCAACTCCATTATAAACAGCATTGAACATTGGGGAAAACGTAATCGTACATGTATGTCTCTACATACATGTACGATAGCACATGTACCTGTAAGACATGTCACTCTGCCTCATTTCTTCACCACTTTTCTGCATGAATCATTCTTCAGGGTTAAATGTAATGCCTTGGTTTCATTACATTGTCTGCCAGCTTTCACTGTATGTTAAACATGTGGAAAACTACAAATCAAAATATTTAAAAAACATATTTGTCCTCACCAGCACAGACACACACAGCATTCATTTAGTAACCATCAAACAGATATGAGATAGTGTTTAATCGCTACGGCAGCATTTGGGAGACCTTCATGCCAGGTGACGCCATGGCTGTTTGGATGTTTTGACTAGGTCGGCTGTTAATTCAAATCATTATTCAAACCCAGGGATGTTCAAATAGCATTGCATTGTGTGTTTACAGAGACATAGAAATGTGTCTGTGAAACACAGCAGCAGCTGCTGTTGCCATGGTGAAGCAAACTCAATGAACCCAGAAGAATTTCTCTGAGTTTAAGCAGAGACACAAAAAAGAGAGAAGCTGAGGAAAGGGAGAGTATTGTGAGGGGAGGAAGAGGAGGGAAATGAACAGGTGGCATCAGTTATATCAGGCCAACAGCAAAACATGACTCAACAAAAACACCCAAACTATTTTGGACCTAGTTAGGGCCGGAGCATTGACACCGGTTCTGTTTTGATGTGCTCTGAGGCAGCTGCTGCTCTACTTTGATGCTGTCGGCCTCAAACTGTCAGAATACCTGAGAAGAAAATCACACTTTCTCTCTATTCTCCTTTCTTGCATTCTGCTCACTGCTGTGGTAGCAGTTTGATAATTTGTCCCTTTCATTAAGCCGACCACTTGTGTTTATTTTCCTTTTTCTTTTATGTCCCCAATCCTTCTGTCAAGGTGAGCGTAATGCTTCGGCAAACCGGGATCCACAGAATAAATCTCACCGTGTAATTAGTTCCCTGTGACACAACAGTGCTGCTGAAGTGCCAGTTAACACCCTGTAATCTCTGCTCATCAGAGTGGGCGACAGTGAGAGGACTTTTTATACAAACACCTTATTTAATGTGCGTTCCTCCTCTGCTGCTGCTATTAAGGAAGAAAAGAAGCCGTGATAATCAAAAGTGTTTCCTTTAACCAGTGTTTCTATTTGCTAACATGTCATTAACAAGGCAGAAACTGTAACAGAAGAGAGAGAAGATAAACGGTTCGGTTTACAGCTCTGCATCCCATAATATAACATGGTCTTCATTACAAACAGGCTTTACCAATTTAACTGTGAACATGGCTGATGTAAATGCATATTCTACTTATAATACTGTTTACATGCCGCTATACATACTTTGAATAACATGCTTCTTTTGTGTCAAAATACATTTTCTTACGATGTCTTTATGGTATTGGCCACCTTTTTTCATACTTACTACCACTTTGTCCATTGTGTCTCTCTTTGATATGTGTTTTCACATATCCAAAAACATGCTCTCTTTCATAATGTTTAAATGTACGTTCCTCCCTTCCACAAGAAATGTGGGCTTGATAGATTGTTCAATGCAAGATTTTCAAGGTTATATGTTAAATTGACTTAAATCTGAATGGACTACACATACATGTCCAAAGACTGCTCTTAAAACCCGAATAACGTAGACCAGGGGTTTCCAAACTACGGCCCGGGTGCCAACTGCAGCCCGTGGTCCATTTTTAACCTTAACCTCAGCAAATTCTAAGAGTATAATGGAATTTGGCCCACACATGAAACTTGTGCTTGTCTTATATTGTACTTCTTAAATATGTAAAAATATATTACTCAGTATTCATGAACCTGACAGCCTTTTACTCGTCCATTTTACCCACTTCATCTTCACAGAAATCGACGTATAATTGATCTACTGCTAGCGTTTGGAGTATCTCCCCCTCAAAGCATGTTCCATTGGATGCAGCATCACTCTAATGGTGTCCGTTATCAGAACACTGCTTGACTCTCTGCCAAGTTCAGACTCACTCGCGCTCAGCCCGATGCAAATGTGATGTCATTAAGTTTCCATCAGCGGGCCTCAAGTACTAATTGGTATGCATGCCAGTCCTCAGGTCAGTATTATTCTATGCAGATTGGGCATAATTCATGAAGGAGAACAGTGGTTTTGACTCGAGTAGCCTCTCTCCTCATCCTTCAAGCCAGGCCAGTGTCATCATGCCACCTGTTGCTAGGTAACGACTATCAGATCTGTCCCATAGTGTTTTTTTTTTTAACGGATGCATTCAGGGGATATGCCCTGGAGCAGGAGAGGGAGAAAGTGATAGAAATCTCACTGTCTGTCTGTCTGTCTGCTTTACTGTAGCTCCTGATGAGCTCACCTAACAGACATTTCTGTTTTTAACTTTGGGGTTATATTTATTCTGGACTGGCTGGAATGTTGTGCTCCTCTGTCTTTGTTATTTTCTTTGCACAGCTGGCAGAAGTTCTCCTCTGTTGGGAGCCATGCTGTTTGGACACTGGCAGGCCTCATTGCGCTGCCAGCCTCTGAATGGCATGTCAGGCACTTTATACCAGCAGGCCTCTCACAGGTCTGTCTGCTGCTTTGGGCTGGAAGGAATTGTTACATTTGCCTACAGAGCAGGAACCTGGACATGCAACATTTGCAAAACGACTATACTGTGTAAATCATTGCTTCAGAGGCCATTCAGTGATGGCTGTGACGGCTGAAAAGGAAAGTGATACAAACATTGCTTTTGTGTTTGTGTGCTGACTGCATTAGTAGTATGTTGATTCTTTTCAGAAATCTAAATGTGTTGCCCTAAAATCATTAGTGGATTGGAAGAGGATTAACTAAAAATCTATTAATATATTATTTATATTTGAATGTTTTCACTTTCCCTATAGCTTGTAGCACATCATATTTTTTAGTTGAAGATATAACAGAACAAAATAAAAATACAAATACACATAAAAATGGGGTCAAACTATAAATCATAAAAAAGTCAACATTGGGGCAGTACATTTTCACAGTTCAATGGCAAGACTATTCATTTCTTTGCATAATAAGTACAAAATAACTGTATTTTTACTACAATTATAGGATTAAGTTGATAATACTTTTACATTTAAGGTTTCAAATGAGGACTTTATCTTATTGTGGGGTATTTTCACCATATGTTAAGTTTGATCAGTGTTTCTTCCACCATCCCACTGAGAGTCTGTGTTACAGTTATAAATAGCTCCATGCCTAACATGCCAGACACATCAGAGTCCAGCCAGAGCCACGCCATGATGACAATGCCGATGCAAAAGAAATAAGCCACACCAGTTTCTTAATGAGGGGTTGGTACGAGTTAAAAATAAGGGCATAATTGTAATTGCTTTTATTGAAACGATCGCAAACCTGGGCGCTTCATTAGGCGTGCACAAGTCTTTTATCTACCGTGCAGATAATTACATCTCTTACTCTAAAGAAGCACGTCAACAAATGCCGTCTATCTTGATTGAAGTGCAGATATTCCTCTTGCCTCCTTTTTTCTGCGCGAGGTCAGGCGTGTTTCCTGGAGGCCTGCAGCTACTACGTTATTAATAGTTGTGCATATCAGACACGCATGAATGCACAGTAACATACAGTACAAGGAGGTATATTTACAGTAGGGGGGTTCTAGGGCTGAGGGATTCTGAAAACATGACTTATTGCAAAGATCTTTTACTGATATTGCAATTGCGGTATGAGCCGCGATAGTAGAGTGATTCAGCATTTGTGAAACATTTTCTAAGAGGATCTGTACCAAACTAGGATTTTGTATTAAGTCTGTGGGTTGGAACATCTTTGCAGCACCACCATATTTAATAAGGAATAATATTTACACATATTTTACCATATAACAATACCAAATATTGCACAAACTGCATGGAGTTGAAATAGGCTTTATTGCAATTTTGATACATTTATGAATAATTGTGCATCCCTGCTGTGTGATGTGCGTTCCCATTGCACATTATCTCACTCTGACCGTACATGACTACACGGTTGCATTGATTTCCTTTTATTTGCGTCCAGGAGCCAGGTGATCTTTTGAAGATGTATTGATTCCTGCTGCCTCTAACAGGCTGCCCCACTGTGTGTGTTTCCACTTGTGGAGCGCAGTGAATTGTTAATGCCAGCTGTCAGTGAAGACACACCAACGCCAAAGAAGAGAGCCAGGCGTTGAAGCACCTCATTTGTAGGGGCCAAACGTTGGCACTACAACTAACGTGTCAGTCTGTAATATCATTGGGCACAAAAATACTTTCTCACATTGGGAAAGAGACGTCTGTAAAGCATCGTATGTGTTTTAAAAAATGTTATTTGCTTAAAGCCAAATCCAGAGGTATTTTATCTCTGCCTGCGCACTTGCGTTTTCCTTAAGCTCCGCCTCCAATCTGCAGCGTCATGGGCGCTCTT